AGAAAAACGCATGTCAAAATTTTTATAAATTGATTTGCATTTTAATGAGGGAAATAAGTATTTGACCCCTCTGCAAAACATGACTTAGTACTTGGTGGCAAAACCCTTGTTGGCAATCACAGAGGTCAGACGTTTCTTGTAGTTGGCCACCAGGTTTGCACACATCTCAGGAGGGATTTTGTCCCACTCCTCTTTGCAGATCTTCTCCAAGTCATTAAGGTTTCGAGGCTGACGTTTGGCAACTCGAACCTTCAGCTCCCTCCACAGATTTTCTATGGGATTAAGGTCTGGAGACTGGCTAGGCCATTCCAGGACCTTAATGTGCTTCTTCTTGACCCACTCCTTTGTTGCCATGGCTGTGTGTTTTGGGTCATTGTCATGCTGGAATACCCATCCACGACCCATTTTCAATGCCCTGGCTGAGGGAAGGAGGTTCTCACCCAAGATTTGACAGTACATGGCCCCATCCATCGTCCCTTTGATGCGGTGAAGTTGTCCTGTCCCCTTAGCAGAAAAACACCCCCAAACCATAATGTTTCCACCTCCATGTTTGACGGTGGGGATGGTGTTCTTGGGGTCATAGGAAGCATTCCTCCTCCTCCAAACACGACGAGTTGAGTTGATGCCAAAGAGCTCCATTTTGGTCTCATCTGACCACAACACTTTCACCCAGTTCTCCTCTGAATCATTCAGATGTTCATTGGCAAACTTCAGACGGGCATGTATATGTGCTTTCTTGAGCAGGGGGACATTGCGGGCGCTGCAGGATTTCAGTCCTTCACGGCGTAGTGTGTTACCAATTGTTTTCTTGGTGTCTATGGTCCCAGCTGCCTTGAGATCATTGACAAGATCCTCCCGTGTAGTTCTGGGCTGATTCCTCACCGTTCTCATGATCATTGCAACTCCACGAGGTGAGATCTTGCATGGAGCCCCAGGCCGAGGGAGATTCCATTTGCGAATAATCGCACCAATTGTTGTCACCTTCTCACCAAGCTGCTTGGCGATGGTCTTGTAGCCCATTCCAGCCTTGTGTAGGTCTACAATCTTGTCCCTGACATCCTTGGAGAGCTCTTTGGTCTTGGCCATGGTTGGAGAGTTTGGAATCTGATTGATTGATTGCTTCTGTGGACAGGTGTCTTTTATACAGGTAACAAACTGAGATTAGGAGCACTCCCTTTAAGAGTGTGCTCCTAATCTCAGCTCGTTACCTGTATAAAAGACACCTGGGAGCCAAAAATCTTTCTGATTGAGAGGGGGTCAAATACTTATTTCCCTCATTAAAATGCAAATCAATTTATAACATTTTTGACATGCGATTTTCTGGATTTTTTTGTTGTTATTCTGTCTCTCACTGATCAAATAAACCTACCATTAAAATTATAGACTGATCATTTCTTTGTCAGGGGGCCAACATGCAAAATCAGCAGGGGATCAAATACTTTTTTCCCTCACTGTAGCTTCATATCGAACAGCCTCATGCTTACCCATGCAAACCAGATAAAGACATGTTGTCCTTTAGAAAAGTAACTCTGGATATAAATAACTGGATATCCCTTACTAGGGAAAGCCTGGTTCATACAGAAGGACAACTGCTGGGTCTGCGGCAAAGCTGACTTCTAGCAGTGAAATAAGAAAAACACAATAGAGATGTTTAGAAACCATAGGGCTACTGTATAGAAAATATTTTGCTTGATGTCAATGACCCTGTGGTATGTTAGAGACATTGTTTTCATGAGATATCAGTCATACTACTCACTGTAAAGGATAGATTCAGTGGACAGATCACATCCACAAGATGTTCCCTTTCCTGCTCTGTTGTCTCAATTTGTGGGAAAGATGAAGTGGCTAAAGTTCAATAGCAATTATGTCAGGAGCAGCAAAAGAGGCTGAAGGCACTGGGGCCAGGCTGAGGCTCTCAAAGGCTGTGAGAGAGCATTGAGGAGTACATGCAGGAATAATGTGGGATGTGATGTGTGCATTTTACCCGTGGCAGTCAACAGACAAAACAGAGGGCCCGCATGGTAGGGAGGATAGTGGTCTTTATTCATGCTTCACCTTCTGACTGAGACTCACCAGGGACCTGAGGAAACTGCAGCAGGCTGTTGCTCACGGATGAAAGCACTATTAAACAGGGCTTTCACATTGCAGGAAGATAGAATATCCCTTTCTATCTCACAGAGTCACTCTGGAGTTATGGAGAATGATGTGGAAGGGATTGTGGAGGGTATATGTTATTTGAAATCTACATGGGTTAAGTGGGATTTTGTTTTGTGATGACTGCAACAGGTGATAAAAAATTAGAGATATAATCAAATATGAATTTAATTACAGAGTATTATTTTAATTTTTTTACACAATGTAAAATTTTTACTTGCTTGCTGTAACATCCAACTGGGCACACCAGGTCATTTCAAAATTGACATTTGGGTAATAATTGGTAGAGACGTTGATCAATGAGATTTCAACCTTTATTCACCCACTCAATAAGTCAGCCAGAAATTTGTTGGCTGACTTATTGAGTGATGATCTGAAATTATTTCAAAGGTACAAATTCAACATATTTCATACAAGGTTTGTCTATGTTGAAAATTCATTAAAATGTTGACATAATCCTATGGTTGAAATTCCACCCTCAAAACAACAGTTTACGTTGATGAGCCTAGAGGGATATATGTAGCCAACGCAACCAAACAAAATAATTGTTCACCTTTTCACTGTGTTTTGATTGACAAGTGATTGTTAAGTATATATTTTTATTTCAAATGCTGCAGAAAATATAGCCATTCCAGCCGTGCACACTTGTTCATTATAACAGAGTCTAGAGGCAAAAGAGTCATGGGCTGTGCTATGTTGTAGCACCATCTGCTGCTGAACAAAGAAGGTGATGATGGGTCCTGTAGATACTGTGGACCAGGACTAGTCAACCCTCCTCCCCTATTATAATATACCTGATTCAGTTATACAGTGGCTTGCGAAAGTATTCACCCCCCTTGGCATTTTTTCTGGAATTAAAATGGATTTTTTGGGAGTTTGTATCATTTGATTTACACAACATGCCTACCACTTTGTGAAGCAAACAAGAAATAAGACAAAAAAACAGAAAACTTGAGCATGCATAACTATTAACCCCCCCCCCCCAAAGTCAATACTTTGTCGAGCCACCTTTTGCAGAAATTACAGCTGCAAGTCTCCTGGGGTATTTCTCTATAAGCTTGGTACATCTAGCCACTGGGATTTTTGCCCATTCTTCAAGGAAAACTGCTCCAGCTCCTTCAAGTTGGATGGGTTCCGCTGGTGTAAAGCAATCTTTAAGTCATACCACAGATTTTCAATTGGATTGAGGTCTGGGCTTTGACTAGGCCATTCCAATACATTTAAATGTTTCCGCTTAAACCACTCAAATGTTGCTTTAGCAGTATGCTTAGGGTCATTGTCCTGCTGGAAGGTGAACCTCCGTCCCAGTCTCAAATCTCTGGAAGACTGAAACAGGTTTCCCTCAAGAATTTCTCTGTATTTAGTGCCATCCATCATTCCTTCAATTCTGACCAGTTTCCCAGTCCCTGCCGATGAAAAACATCCCCACAAAACGATGCTGCCACCACCATGCTTCACTGTGGGGATGGTGTTCTCGGGGTGATGAGAGGTGTTGGGTTTGCGCCAGACATAGCGTTTTCCTTGATGGCCAAAAAGCTCAATTTTAACCTCATCTGACCAGAGTACCTTCTTCCATATGTTTGGGGAGTCTCCCACATGCCTTTTGGCAAACACCAAACGTATTTGCTTATTTTTTTCTTTAAGCAATGGCTTTTTTTCTGTCCACTCTTCCGTAAAGCCCAGCTCTGTGGAGTGTACGGCTTAAAGTGGTCCTATGGACAGATACTCCAATCTCCGCTGTGGAGCTTTGCAGCTGTTTTTTTTTTTTTTTTTGTCATTTAGCAGACGCTCTTATCCAGAGCGACTTACAGTTAGTGAGTGCATACATTTTTCATACTGGCCCCCCATGGGAATCGAACCCACAAACCTGCCGTTGCAAGCGCCATGCTCTACCAACTGAGCTACACAGGGTTATCTTTGGTCTCTTTGTTGCCTCTCTGATTAATGCCCTCCTTGCCTGGTCCGTGAGGTTTGGTGGGCGGCCCTCTCTTGGCAGGTTTGCTGTGGTGCCATATTCTTTCAATTTTTTAATAATGGATTTAATGGTGCTCCGTGGGATGTTCAAAGTTTCGGATATTTTTTTAATAACCCAACCCTGATCTGTACTTCTCCACAACTTTGTCCCTGACCTGTTTGGAGAGCTCCTTGGTCTTCATGGTGCCGCTTGCTTGGTGGTGCCCCTTGCTTAATGGTGTTGCAGACTCTGGGGCCTTTCAGAACAGGTGTATATATACTGAGATCATGTGACACTTAGATTGCACACAGTTGGACTTTATTTTACTAATTATGTGACTTCTGAAGGTAATCGGTTGTACCAGATCTTATTTAGGGGCTTCATTGCAAAGGGGGTGAATACATATGCACGCACCAATTTTCCGTTACTTATTTTTTTGAATTTTTTGAAACAAGTAATTTTTTTTCATTTCACTTCACCAATTTGGACTATTTTGTGTATGTCCATGACATGAAATCCAAATAAAAATCAATTTAAATTACATGTTGTAATGCAACAAAATAGGAAAAACGCCAAGGGGGATGAATACTTTTGCAAGGCACTGTAGGTCCTAGTGACTTCATTTTCCAGTAGTTTTTCATTCACTGAAGGGGTGGCTATGTTCAAGGTTCCTCTGGACAAAATAAGGAGTAGGGTGACAGCCATTTCACATGATGATCCCTGAAAAGATGGTTCATATTATTACAATATAATGAAAAAACATTCCTTTGTTAATGGGTGGGGTAAGCTGCTTGTTTTATTAACAGGGTTAACAACAGCACCCTCACTTGTTGAGTTGGAATGAAGTTGCAAAACTAAGAATTAATCTAGAGAGCACATCCAGAGCATAGGCCTACCTGTGGTATTTCTGTCCCTTTCTCCTTTGATATTCCATTTCATCCACTGTCCAGACGGACCCCTTGCCTCCCTCCACTCGCACAAAACACTTGTGCAGGCTAAGATTATGACGGACAGCGTTCTGTGGTGGCAAATGAATACAGCTTGTGTAAGGATTTCAGGAGCCAATATAGCTCAAGACTCAAATATAAGACTCATATGAAAGTGAGCATAATGATCCAAGGAGAAGTCTAACCTTCCATGTGGCCGTGTTGTGTCGGAAGTAGAAGAACATGGTGGTGAACCAGTTGTAGATGTCATTCAGAGAGCGCTGCTTGTCTGAAGACTCCAGTATAGACTGCAGACAGACATTGTGGACGTTCACAATAGGCTTGTGCAATTGAAACAACTCACATGAAGTCTAGACATAGATTGAAGTCTTGCTACACATGTAGTCCAATACAACAGATTTGATGTTAATTTCACACTTGTAGTCCAACAAAAATGCATGAACTACCGAGCAAACTGTATGTTGCTCAGCCACTCAGCCAGACTCTCGACAGTCTACCTTTTCCTTTACTCAAGTGTTCAGAGGTACTCTACTGTCAAAATCAGACAACTCACCCATCTTATCAGGCAGGCGTAGGTGTACGGTGGCCTGATGTTGTTGTATTTGTAACACTCAACACTCGGGATAAGATCTGTGGGACGGCCAAAGAAAGCAAACATGCCAGGTCTCGAGTTTGGATCAGATTTCACAGCAACGCGAAAGGCAACATCACCAAAACAAACAAGCAAAACACTTGTAGGAATGCACTCAGAAGAGCGAATCAGCAGTCATGCTATGCCTCGTTGCATTATGTGAATGTTATCCTGTGTTAAAGAGGAGCATGGAAGGGGCGGGGGCAGTGTTACCTGGCCATAGGTGGGGGGGAGCAGCAGAGGGAAAATACTCATGCTGCTCCAGCTCCTCTGGCTCTTTACTGGCGCAGTGTGGCACTCCATCTGGCGCCCGGGCCGGGGCTGGGTTCTGAGGCAGGCCTAAAGACAGGCTGTGGCTGTAGGGCCAGTCTGAACCCGCCTTCTGACAGGGAGAGAGACCGTGACCCGACAACACAGACATAAAACAAGGACAAGTTGGGGTACATAGAAATTGTCTTAAAAAGTGCAGGATAATGGACAATGGCATGGCTGGTTACTATAGTCACTTGAGGGCATTAGCCAAAAGAGGGAAGCCTTGAGAAGTTACCAAGAAGGTTGATTTGTGTCCAGATAGGTGCAGATGTAGTTGCATTGCGAAGAGTTTCTGTTTTTCCACAGTCAGCTAAAAAAGAGAGAAGACTCATTAAGGTTCATTAAGGGCCACATTTTCACTTAGTTGGACTTAGTTGTCCGTGTTCACTTTTCTGTAGAACTGTCTTTTATATGTATAACTACAGGAACAAACCTGGGTCTCCATGTATTGCACCATGTCTTGTTGTACCCTCCACTGTGCAATGCTTCTGTCTCCATGGCCATGGTCAGAGTGGAGGTGTCTGGAAATAACATAAAGAGTTTCAAAGTCATGACTATAAAGAACAGCACCACAACTGCATCACAATGACCAATGAAATATACTGGTGCTCATGACTTACTTCAAAAAACTTGGAAATTCTTCAAATACTGCATCGCAGCCTGGCCAGCAGCAGAGTCCATTGAGAAACAGAGCACTGGACCCCCCATGGGTTGGGTGACCTGGCCTGCAGAATGAAGGGAGGAATATTATAAATGTAGGACTTAATCAAACCAAACTGGCATTGTTTATGCATTGTCTGTTTATGTCACATGCGTGCACACGCGCTCAGATGATCACACCACACACGGAACTCACTCATGATGCCTGGTAATGATGGAGCTCTGCTTAGCACTAGCTGTCCTCAGGGGAGAGGGGTGACGAGTTGGCCCAGGAGAGTGCTCAGAGTGTGGGGGAGAGGACTGTCCACGGCTCCCTGTGTCCACCTCCACCTTGTATAGTGAGATGGGCTGAGCTGAACTGGCCTCTGTTAGAGTGCATGGTGCTGGAGAAGCAGAAGGTAGAGAAAAATTGATCTTTATGGAGAAAGACCTAGATACACTTTCCATGAACCTCCTTTGAATAACTTACTGTATAATGGCTGTATAGAATTGTATACAACATATGTAATGACACCTTGATTTTAAAGCCGCTATGGTCCGTTGAACAAAGTCTATGGGGAAATTAATGGAGTTTTATAGGTCTGTGGTAAACACAGGCTTAGGAGATCTTATAGGTTTTCTTCTATGAGTTCATCTTCACCAGCTAACGTCACTTTTTTAGAATTTTGAAGCATTTATGTAATCAAAAAAGCCCATAAAGCACATAAAGGCTTCATAATTCATAAATGTCATGTTAACTGACTGATATTATCATAGAACAAAACCTATAAGATCTTGTAAGCCTGTGTTAACCTCAGACTGTATTTTCAGCATTTATCCCAAAACCCTATTCTTTCCCCATTCATTTTCCCCATATTAATGGCTGAACGAACCAGAGGTAGCTCATTTCCGTTTTTTAGGACTACATGCTGGCGAGCTCTATTCTATCTTCTCCTAAGACATGATAGTTCAGTTGTGTACGTAAGGGGGCTGCAGAGGGTCAGTCAGAGCAAAGAGTACCCTGTGGTCGTACGTGGGCAGCCTGGACACCCTGGCGTAGAACAGAGGGTCTGTGCTGGCTCAACTGAGGGCACCGAGACACCCGCTGCAGGAACGGTCTCCCCTCATCCTCACTGGAACACTGGGGAGGACACGCAACAAGACACTCACACTTACAGTACCCCCTTTTACCAGCAGGGAGTTTTATGAGCAAACACAAGCAACTTTCTTGTCAGTGAAACTGAAACAATAATGTATGGGTTACATGAATCTCAGGTCAGAATAGGGCATTGAAACACGTTATAATAGGAGGTATAAGGAGGAATATCATACCTGCTGTAACAATATGCTTTGGAGCTGAGATGAGGCCATAAGTGGACCTCCATGTCTAATCATCAATGGGAAGCCCATCTATGAATAATGGACATTTATTTATATCATTCCGCTCACTATTAGGACAAAAAATATTCCATGTAAGGAAAATATAAATATTGCCTCCAAGCTAGAATCCTTAGTTGCAACATACATTTTTGGACTTAACAATTCATGATATATACCCATTGATTCTTGAAGAAAATAACTTATAAATGCCTCATGAGTTTAGTTCAACTGTCGTACCCCATCAGAACCCAAAATATAAGCTTGTTTTCCTTCAATGTTTGTAAACAATGTAAATGTAAACAAACACTCAAACAAAACATGGTTAAAACTGTAATGTTGTTATCATGTATGGTCAGTCCTTGCATCCATTGCTCTGTATATGCATTTGAGAGTGGTTCCATTTCTCCAGGCCCATCCCTCAGCTTTTTATCGAAACAGAGGCTGGGTTACGCTTTGTTATTTTTAAGGATTCTATCTTTAACAGTCTTTAAATTAGTATTATTATACCAAAAATCATAGACCAAAAAACAAATGAAAAAGCAAACGATATGAAACCGATTGATGTACACTTTAGCTTGTGGTCTTAACTTTCAATATTGTTTATTTTGGTATTCATTATGTATTATTATTTTTCTTTGTAAATCTGGCTCAAATTTTGATTTCAACCACAGTAACAGTTCAACCAGTACCTGCGTAACAGAGGTACGAGCATAGAGCTGAGGTGAGACAGAATCTTTGGGCTGGGTACGTGCGTCTGGCTCCTCTCCCTGTTCATCCCGCCGCTCTCGCTGCTGCTGATGTCGCCCACTGTTCAGCCGCCCACTCTTCAACCACTCACTCTCAGTCTGTGGCATCCCTGGGCCTGGTGCAGAAGAGCAGATATGGATGGTTATTGCTAAGTGCATGTTACCCCTAGGACTGCAGGGGTGGTGGTGGATAAAGGTTGGCTCTCACACTGCAAATGTGTAGACAACATAAACAATTGCAAATAAACATCCATCACAATAGATCGTCTCCACACAAGGCACCAATTATGTAGGTATGTTCCTATTTGTAAGGATATGTTGTATTCAGTCCAGCATATTGTTCAATGTATGACATTAAAACAACACATTGCTACAATATCATATACAAATAGTGAGGTGAGTGAGAGAGAGAGAGAGAGAGAGAGAGAGAGAGAGAGAGCGAGAGAGAGAGAGAGATGAGAGAGCGAGAGAGAGAGCATAGAGAGAGAGAGAGATCGAGATAGAGAGAGAGCGAGCCCGAGGTAGGGGAGATGAGGAAGAAGCCAGATACAACGCTCTCGTCTAGGAACTCTACGCGGAGGAGAGAGAGAGAGAGAGGATGTACATTTGCTCTTTGGTAAATGTTAGACAGCTACAGGTTTGGAGGCATGGTATTTTTGTTTCCTTATCAGACATAATGAAGGGAGAGGAGTTCAAACACGGTCTGGGCTGAGAGATTTTGTGGTTGTGCACAGGTGCAACCTTTGACTACACAGACAGTGGAGGGTACAGAGATGAAGCTGATAGCAGCAGGTATCTCACAAATATAGCACAGGAAAGAGGGAAGGGGAGAGGGTGCTCCAATTCTTTTCTCCCCTCGTACCTCTGGTACTGGTACTGTTTCAGTGGTATTCACCTTGTATTTAGAAGGAAATAATGTGGTATCAATGGGTACATTATTGTGCTTAGTATACTTGAAAGAACTACTTGGTACCAAAATCTGTTAAAACTCCCAAAGAAACAAATAAGTAATTATATCATGTCATTTCTAGGTAAATATGTAAATATCTGGTAAGTGCTACCCAAGAGGGCAACCTCATATAACTCTATACCTCAAATGTTTAAAAGTCTATGGGTGACCACTGTGTACATTTGCAAATGCACGCTCTCACCCAGGAAGAGGAAACAGGAATTCAGTAGAAAGAGAAAGTACTGAAGTTCTTTGTGGCTTCTCACTTTTATCTCCACTTCACTAGCAAAACCAAACATGTCTCCTTTACAGAAAGCTCAGATCAAAGCAAAGTATTTGTTGTAATGCAAAGAGACAATTGAATCAAGTCACATTAAAAACAGACATTAAATGAATAAGCACATCTTTTTGATTCGGAATTGAGAGCTACAGTACATGTTTATATCACACAGGTTCGTAGAGTGTGATTTGATGAATGGATGTGCTACAATAACATTACAAGTAGAAAATTATGAAATATTAACAATTCTTTCAACACTTCTCTCAACTGAGGGCAATTACGTTAAGCTTTTACTGTAGTCTATGACTGGGTTTGATTATCAAAATGCTAAATTTACAATCAACTACATATGGAAAGTTATGAATTATCAAAACTTCTTTCTCAGTGACTTTTCTTATTACTCACTATGCTTCCATATCTAAAATATCTGTCTGATCTTGGCGCTTTGGAAGGAACCTGTGGGTGATATTGATTTGCAGATTCGCTTTGACCTATAACACTACAGTGGTGGAGGAAGGCATTTATAAGCAGAGGAATCATTCTTGTTGATCCACAAAGGACACAATTAAACAGAATATTAGATTTTTCCCCCTAATATTATATTATGTTTATTTTATCATATGTTTTCTTCTAATTCAACTTTTCTCTTTGAATGAGAAGAAAACATATATAAAAATAGATTAGAGTAAATATTATACTGTAGTGGTGACTTAGAGAGTTACATTAAAATGTATGTCCAAAATTATTGAATTAACTAAATGTCAAAATCAGCATGAAGACAAACTTTCAATTTGATGGTCATATAATACCAGTCTTACAGCCTATATATATATACTTTTTAAAATTATATTGCAGTTTAAATTACAAAGTTAGGAAGGTTTTTGAACATGTATGCCCAACTTCTGTATTCCCAGAGTTTGCAAAAGAATGATAGTAAAAAGCTTAAATGGAATTTTGGGCAAAGAGGCAAACTCAGCTCCATCATTCATTGAATCTGATTGCTCATTAATCACAAAACCCACTGATATTGCCAACTACTTTAATGATTTTTTCATTGGAAAGATAATCCAATTTAGGCATGACATGCCAACAACAAACCCTGAACCTACACATCCATTAATAAATGACTAAATTATGAAATACAAGCATTGCAATTTTGAATTCTGTAAAGTGAGTGTGGAAGAGGTGAAAAAATAATTGTCTAACTTCTAGAATGTAACATTTCATTCCATGACAAGAGTTACTGACTCAAAGCCACAAGAAGGTAGAACATATTTCAAACATTGTTTGTTAGGGGGAGGTAGTTGCAGAAATGTTGGGTCTGACAACTTGTATGGAAAATTACTGAGGAGGATAGCGGACTATATTGACACTCCTATTTGCCATCTCTTCAATCTTACAGGAAAGTGTGTGCCCTCAGGCCTGGAGAGAAGCAAAAGTAATTGTGCTACCCAAGAATAGCAAAGCACCCTTTACTGGCTCAAAACAGCCGACCAATCAGCCTGCTACCAACCCTTAGAAAAATGTTGGGAAGATTTTGTTTGACCAGATACAATGCTATTTCAGAGTAAACAAATTAACAACTGACTTTCAGCATACTTATAGGGAAGGGCACTCAACATATACATTGCCTTACAAAAGTATTCATCCCCCTTGGCGTTTTTCCTATTTTGTTGCATTACAACCTGTAATTTAAATTGATTTTTATTTGGATTTCATGTAATGGACATACACAAAATAGTCCAAATTGGTGAAGTAGAATGAAAAAAATTACTTGTTTCACAAATCTATAAAAAATTTAAAACAGAAGAGTGGTACGTGCATATGTATTCACCCCCTTTGCTATGAAGCCCCTAAATAAGATCTGGTGCAACCAATTACCTTCAGAAGTCACATAATTAGTTAAATAAAGTCCACCTGTGTGCAATCTAAGTGTCACATGATCTGTCACATGATCTCAGTATATACACACCTGTTCTGAAAGGCCCCAGAGTCTGCAACACCACTAAGCAAGGGGCACCACCAAGCAAGAGGCACCATGAAGACCAATGAGCTCTCCAAACAGGTCAGGGACAAAGTTGTGGAGAAGTACAGATCAGGGTTGGGTTATAAAACAATATCAGAAACTTTGAACATTCCACGGAACACCATTATTAAAAAATTGAAAGAATATGGCACCACACCAAACCTGCCAAGAGAGGGCCGCCCACCAAAACTCACGGACCAGGAAAGGACGGCATTAATCAGAGGCAACAAAGAGACCAAAGATAACCCTGAAGGAGCTGCAAAGCTCCACAGCGGAGATTGGCGTATCTGTCCATAGGACCACTTTAAGCCGTACACTCCACAGAGCTGGGCTTTACGGAAGAGTGGCCAGAAAAAAAGCCAATGCTTAAAGAAATAAATAAGCAAACACGTTTGGTGTTCGCCAAAAGGCATGTGGGAGACTCCCCAAACATATGGAAGAAGGTACTCTGGTCAGATGAGACTAAAATTGAGCTTTTTGGCCATCAAGAAAAACGCTATGTCTGGCGCAAACCCAACACCTCTCATCGGCAGGGACTGGAAAACTGGTCAGAATTGAAGGAATGATGGATGGTGCTAAATACAGGGAAATTATTGAGGGAAACCTGTTTCAGTCTTCAATAGATTTGAGACTGGGATGGAGGTTCATCTTCCAGCAGGACAATGACCCTAAGCATAATGCTAAAGCAACACTTGAGTGGTTTAAGGGGAAACATTGAAATGTCTTGGAATGGCCTAGTCAAAGCCCAGACCTCAATCCAATTGAGAATCTGTGGTATGACTTAAAGATTGCTGTACACCAGCGGAACCCATCCAACTTGAAGGAGCTGGAGCAGTTTTGCCTTGAAGAATGGGCAAAAATCCCAGTGGCTAGATGTGCCAAGCTTATAGAAACATACCCCAAGAGACTTGCAGCTGTAATTGCTGCAAAAGGTGGCTCTACAAAGTATTGACTTTGGGAAGGTGAATAGTTATGCACGCTCAAGTTTTTTTTTTGTCTTATTTCTTGTTTGTTTCACAAAGAAAAATATTTTGCATCTTCAAAGTAGTAGGCATGTTGTGTAAATCAAATGATACAAACCCCCCAAAAATCCATTTTAATTATAGGTTGTAAGGCAACAAAATATGAAAAATGCCAAGGGGGATGAATACTTTCGCAAGCCACTGTACGGCACTTACACAAATCACTGATGATTGGCTGAAAAAAATTTATATTAAGAAGCTTGTGGGAGCTATTTTTTTAGACGTCAGTGCAGCTTTTGACATTATCAATCATAATTTGCTGCTGGAAAAACGTATGGGTTATGGCTTTACATTCTCTGCTATATCGTGGATCGAGAGTTACCTGTATAACAGAACACAGAGGTTGTTTATTTAATGGAAGCCTCTCCAACATAATCCAGGTAGAATCGGGCATTCCCCAGGGCAGTTGTCTAGGCCCTTACTTTTTTCAATCTTTACCAATGACCTGCCACTGGCACTGAGTAAAGCCTGTGTGTCTATGTATGCTGATGGCTCAACATTATAAATGTCAGCTACCACAACAAGTGAAATCACTGCAACACATAACAAAAAGCTGCAGTCTGTTTTAGAATGGCCCGTGCTATCCGGGTTCCTTGAGACGTCCCTACCCTATTAAAGTTTACATTTTAAATGGTTAAGGTAAGGGTTAAGGTTAGGGTTAGAGTTAGGTAAGGGTAAGGGTTAGGGTTAGAGTTAGGTAAGGGTTATGGTTAGGGTTAGGGTAAGGATAGGGGTTAAGGTTAGGGTTAGGCTTTAAGGTAGGAACATCCCAAAGATCCCAGATAGCACTGACAAGTAAAAAGCTAGTACTAAATATTTTAAAAACTATAAGCATTG